CTCTCTCTCTCTCTCTCTCTCTCTCTCTCTCTCTCTCTCTCTCTCTCTCTCTCTTCCTCACACCCAAGCACAGACGCACCTTTGCTGGATAAAGAGCTCGCCCGCCCTGATTCGAACATAGGCAGCCTCTCAACCTCTTTGCCCTTGATGGACGGCAGGGCGAGATCAGGTACCGAGTAATTGACGGTGGTGGAGCGATCTCCGCCCCAAGCAGGCATTGGTGGGACGCCGTTGTAGCTGTAGGCTCTGGGCATGTGTCGCATCGGGTTGGCGTGCACCGAGGGGTAAGTGACGTGAGAAAGGCTGCTGCCAACACGAGGGAGTCCTCCTGGTCCTGGCATTTTCGTGCCTAGGTTGGACGTGGCCATGGCACTCCTTCGTCGGTTCTGCTCGAGAATCTTTGGTCGGTCGTCATGCTTCCAGCTCGAGGGGGCGGCCGCGAGGGCGTCAATGGCGGCGTGCGTAGGAACATGGCGATACGGCACCTGCTTGTGCTCCTCTGAAGCCTTCTCGGCCTCCTTTTTGTTGTGCTCCTTGGCCGACTGCCTCGACTTCTTGAGGCTCGAAAGGATGGACATTGTTGGCGTTTGATGCTTTGAGAGCCGGCGTTGCCGCTGGCGCGAGAGCAGACAAAAGATTCGGGGAAGGTAGAGGTGGCGTGTTCGTACTTGAGCTCAAATAGCAGGTCGCTTGTAAGGTGCGGGTGCGGGTCAAACTGTTCTAGGAAGGCCGCACGAACGGGTTGATCTGGATCCCGGGATGCCACAAGCGAAGAGGGGTCGAGAGACCAGGATGCGAAGTGGCCGAAACCTGATTGGGACTGGGTCAGGATGGTCTCCAGGATAGAATGTTGGGGTGAATTGAAATGAGATTGTCAGTGGCAATGTCAGGGTCGTCAGGTGAGTGACGGAATAATCATGTCGTGAGGGGAAAGAGGCTGTACGCGTCTGCCCTGGCCTGGTTGTTCTGGTTTTCCAGAACTCCTGGGAAGTTCGGGGTCGTGGGGGGGCCCGGGGGTGTCGAGAGAGATGCCACACTCTGGGGGGGACGTGTGCGCGACCTTTGATCAGATCTCACCCTTCTACTCACGAGAGAAGGCAGAACGAACAATTTTGCAGCACCAGCCACTCTGGCGATTGTCTGAACGAACGAGGCAGGCCGACCTAGCGACGCCCTGCTATCGTGAAGTCAGAGGCGTCTGACAGACAGAGAGGGGTACCAAAGGCTGCGTCAAACAGAGTGCCACGGCGTCGAGGCGTCTTCAAGGTTGCGAGTTGAGCATAAGGAGGCAGTACGCTCAAGGTCAAAGGACGGCTGCCGGGAATGCACTTTTCCAGCCTTATGAGACGTCGTCGTTGTCACAGGCCTGAATCGAAGAAGTTTGAGAAGAGGTGAATCACAGACATGCGTCCCAGAACTGCGTGCTCTTTCCTTTAAGACGGGGAGGATTCAAGGCTTGCAGAGGGCATTGGGGGGGGGGTGGCAGGAGACTCTTAATGGGGGCGTGTGGGTGAATAGGCAGTGAGCCGTGAAAGAGTGTGAGGCAAGGCACATCACCTCTAGTAGGGTGGGTGGGAGAGGACTCGGACCTGGGTGATAGCAGGGGTCTCTGTCGGGCTGCGGATACGCCTATGCAGCAGCCAAGCCGCCTTTCGACTGCTGGTGCATGGCTTCCAATATCTAGGCTTGGCAAAAGCGATGGACAGACCGGGGTTTGGGTTAAGTCCCCCCCCTTTTTCTGGTCTATCTCGTAATGATAGATGCAAGTGCCGTCTGGTTGGCATACTGAGGACAGAAAAAGACGCCGACAGTAGGCTGCGGCGTGCGAGACTGTGAGGTACGAGCAATTAGGAAGCAGGGAAGTTGGTGAGCTTGCAACATGGCGATAAAGCGCGTTCCCACCGCCGGAGACCGTGCCGATCCTTCTTGTTGCAGATCCTTCTCACTCCCGGACGGATTCCTGGATCGCAGATTTCACCATGCTGGCTCTGTGCCTGGCATGCATATTGCGACACGGGCCAAACTCGTGGTCACCTGCTTGCTGGTTGGTGATCGGCAGGAGAATCGCAAACGGCGAGGGCGACGACGCTGTTATCGCGACGGCACGGACGGCAACCTTGCATCCTCACAAGCTCTGACGATGCTCCATTCACGAGCCATGATCCTGCTTCTGTTCAGCCTGCAGCATTCGCGTCAGCGCCATCGACAATGGTCGCTGAGGAGCATCAGCCAACTTTTTGCTCCTCCCAAAAATGGCCCTCGTATTCCATCCCAAGCCAGGCACGGCACGGATAGCGCTCATGTAGGTTGCCTGCAGGGATGCGTGGCCGAGGCGGGTGGGCGGCGTGGCGGCATGACGGCCAGCCAACGACGTCCTGGACAATACTGAGCACAGGCGGACGCGCCTAGGGTCGGACTGACCACGGGCGGCATGGCGCTAGCTTCCCAGGAACCCAGAACCCGTCGCTCCCCGTGTCGATGGAAGCCCGTCATGGTGTCGCTCCAGCCGCACCGGACCGCCATCGTCCGCTTCAGGCTTCTGGTTTTCAGGGGAATGGAACCCTGTAGCGCATCCTTTAGAGGAGCTCTCAGGGTGCCCGAGCAACGATAGCGTCAACCGTAATCGGGCTGATAGCGCCCGGAAGGTTCTTATACCTTGTCAAGAGGCTGTTGGGAGACCTTCCGGCGGAAGACACACGCTAACAACCCTCACACGGCTCGTTACCAAACCCTGTTTGTTTCAATGCGCCCATGGATACGATATGATGACGTTCGTTTTCTTTTTGTGTTAGTCGCAGTTCGCAGCTTTTGCTGGTGGTTCTGCCTCTTCTGCCAACCACCCGTGGTATCCGCTTCTGTATTGTGAGACTCTGTCTTGCTTTTTGTCTGTTCCACACGTTGGCCGAATCTGGAGGGCGGTGGATGGATGCCAGTGTCGAAGTGCGGTATAGCTGAATCATACATATCATATGTCGCCCGATGCACGTCTGTCACCATCTGCTTCAGCTGTGATGAGGACGACAGGGACGAACAGCCGGGCTTGATAAGCCATGGTGTGGCAATTTCCACGCCGTGTCTCGCCGACGCCAAGCTAGCAGACACACCTCCAAGGCAGGACGATCGATACTCAGTGGAGCAGGCTTTGGAGAGTATTGATTAGTGACCTTTGTTCGGGGTGTTGATGTGCGCCTGCTGGAGGAAGCTCGCGCTTTGGTGTAGCATTGTGATCCGACCAGGCCGCCAGGGCCGTTGTTCGACAAGGCCGAGGCAGGCATTCCGGTTAACCCTGGGTCAGATCATATGCGACCCGTCAAGGGAGCCTGGTCAACAACAATGCTCCACGCAAGGCGAATAAGGTAGTCTGCCGTGCGTCGGGCATTTTTTCCTTTGAAGGCATTGGAGGCTTAGCTGGTGTCCATGGTCGGCATCTGCTTCATATCAATCTGCTTGAAGAGAAAAGAGACGCCGCTTGTTGACAGTACCGAGTTCGTTCAAGCAAGCTCGACTTGGCGCTATCAGAAACGGGATGGTCAGCTCTTCGCATCCCCTGGGGGCGCCATGCCACTTAAAAATCGGGAAATCGCCTGAAATGACACCAGAAACCAGTCCGAGCCTGGGCCGACTTGTACCTTATCAGGCCAACGCAGCAAGCTGCTTCTTGGTGGGAGAAAATATTGACTCCGCTAACAAGGAGGTAGGTAGACAACGACACACCACCGGTGTGTGAATGCTAGCGAGATGCTAATCAATCCCTCTGGGGTGGCTAGCCGGTCAGGCTCATATCTCAACATTGTGCCAATGGCGAGGTGGGTGACTGTTTGTCTTTCGGAATCTTTAACCGAAGACTGCGCCGACGGATGCGAGCTGGACATAGACGATGATGAGGAGAAGGTGACGGTGTAGTATGCCGGTGCGTGGGGGTCAGGTTGGGCGCTGGGGCATTACAGGCTCTTGTACCCTGCTGCCCTGCTGGCCAGTAGATTTGATCAGCACATCCGTCAATTGAGCGCATGCGATGCTGATTGTGTTGCATTGAGATTCTGTAAACGATCACATGGGTCGAGCGTCGCACCGAAGTTCCGCAGTAAGTACATGTCGGGCCCAGTTGCTCGCTACATGTATGGCAAGCGACGAGAACAGGAGAAGACTCTAAATGATCTGCGTCTAAATTGCGGGTAGGGAAGATGTGTGGCCCTAGCACGGGCCCCGTCCTTGGTCCGATCCTTGGTCTCGCTGACGATTGGGTATTTTGGGGCCCATGTCCTTTTGTTTGTCGACTTATTCAAGCAGTGGCTTCGTTGCACCATTTTACCAGCACCGTGGATGGGACGGGCATGGTGCGGGCCTCTGCATTTGGTACGTAAACTTGGGGAGTGTGATCGGCCTTTCAAGGCTGTCCCGGCGATGGGATAGAAAGCTGCTAGCTGCAGATGGACTGGACGAAGTCTGGGACATAATCGCACGTGGGTGCTAAGTTAGTATCCGTTTGAACCTGTAGCCCGGGCCCCGGGCCTGAGCTTGTGCCTGGACCAAGTTCGTGTTGTCCGGCTGGTTTCTCGCTCGAGACACTAGGGGCCGAGAGAAGACTTTGAGGTGCTTAAAATGATGGGATTCCACATTGACGGTGAATCTTGACAATGCCGAAAGTCAAATGCCGTTCTCGTGTGTGTGTGTGCGTGCGTGTGTTGCGAGGCGGCAGGCTCAGAATTCAGTGCATGTTCGGGAGTCAAGCAGAGCGCCAGAAGCCGAAACAGGATAGCCCCCAATTTTCTCTTGACGACAAATGATGTCGCAGGACCGCAATTGATGGGTTTTGTCGATCTTGGCGGATATGGTCAATCTGAGGTGACCAGGGCAAGGCAACGATCGTGGTTATTTTCGGGGGCTCATTCGATCCCATGGCGTGCCATCCAGCATCCATCAGGCATCAAGCCTTTCGGGAGGCGGCAATCTCAGACGAGCGCTTGCCCGAAGCAGTCCAGCAGATGAGGAGCCGCCTTCCGAGAACGACCTCCGATTGGACAGAGAAAAGCGACGAAGCGCCGAATGACGTGAGCCAGCTGCAGACCGCTGGTGACAGGGCCTTTACCAGCTGGTCGCCCCGCACAGGCCAGGCCACCTCGGCACCCAGGAGGCACCCAGGACGCAGAGGAAACAACCTGCCACGGATGGATGGTCCTGCCGTTGTCTGGGGGCAGACGCACTGGGCAAGTGCCACCCACGGCCACCCACCCCCGATCACGCGCATCCGCCCACTTCGTCCGCAGTGCATTCCAGGCCAGCCTCAACTTCTTCTTGGTCACATCACAGCCCAAACCTTGCGCCGCGCTAGCTTCATCCTCGAGCCACGAGTCGCTGCCCTACCGCCATTCCACCTCTACCGCGCGCTCTTTCCGCTCTTTTCTCCCATTTTCTTTCCCTCTGGTTTCTTCTTCAGGGACCAGCCAGGACAGGGTCCACTGCGGCATTCAGCTGCTGCTTTCGTTCGGGTGGCAGTTGTTATCAATCTGTCCGACGGTCGATCGCGCGACCACTGCCCGCAATCCGCATCCGCACCCGCCTCCGATTTTCATGGCAT